TTGGAGATGATTGTACTTAAGGATAAAATATCCATATAAAAGCTCTCACCCAAGCTTCTAAACAGTCTTTCAACTCTTTAAAATACAAAACCATATTGAAAGATAGTATGGCAATTAATCCATCAGTATTATAAATATATCAGACAGCTGAAGCATTCTGCCATCTTGGTCTTGGGTCAGAGAGTAGAGATGGCCCCTGTGGTAGCCTGCTTGGAAAGCAAATGAGTTGAATGCAGATTTTTGGTGGAGTAGTTTGTGGAAAAGGTGCGGCACATTGCAAAGGTAAAGGCTGTGCTTTCATAGCAGTGGTACCACAACTGAATGCCACTGTTGACTGAAACGCTGACACTGAGGTGGTGGGAGGCTGATTGGCAAGACAGGGCCTCTTAGTCCTATAGATCAAAATAGTCTTAAAAGGAATTAAAAAAGCAGGAGGCAGCTAATGCAAATGTCAGAGCATTAGTTTAATGAATGCATGATGGGAAACTTTGCAGCAAGAGGCCCTTTGCTTGCAGACCAGCTGCGGCCTCCAGACGGACTGCAGCTTATGTATTAGTTTTCAGGAGCCCTGTGCTGTGGCAGCAGTCTAGAGGTTTGTATCTGAATGGAGCAAGTGCACCTCATCCACAGAGTTGAAAACAAGGTAGCATGACCTTGACAACCTGGTAATCTAGCTGAGCATCCAGACTGGATCCACAACAGCCATGGTTTCTCTGTCACAGGGGCTGCATCTTCTGGGTGCTGTCACTAACCAGGCAACAGCGTCTCGGTCTGTCTTGATTCCTACCAGCCTTCCTCCTCCCTCCTCTCCTTCTACTTGCAGGAGTTGTTCTCAGGCCCTGTCTGTGCCCTACAGTGCCCACTGCACCCGTGGAGGTGAAGGTGTAAAGCTGCACACTGTTCTGGTCGGTGAGGGTAGTCTTCATGCGTCCTTCCTCTCCTTGAGAGCCTCTTACTAAGAGATGCAAGGAGAGTTCTGACATATCTGTGGTGCAGTTAGAAGGAGAATTGGTTACAATCAACACACTAGAGATCTGTAGGCACTGTTTTGCAGACCCAACCTCTCTGTGAGGTGGGACTTACAGGAGTAGTGTAAACAGGGAAAGACAATATGTACATTCAAGCATTGCACAGCAAGTGGAAGTCTCTCCAGTGGTTTTCAACCTTTCCTGTTAGTATAAATATTTTATTTCCTTGCAATGTCAGATCTCTTCAAGAACTAGTATACACGGTGCTCAAACTGAAAAATTTGCCTGCTTTTATCCTGATATTAACAGGAGCTACACTGAGATATAATTGTGGCAGGGACTGGATAAAAGCAATAATGGTTAGCATGTTAATTGCTTCAACTCTCTTAAGCATTTTGTGACTGCCTGATCTAAAAAGCCTGTCATCTTGCCTGCGTGGTTTGTTTACGTATGAGCTAATTCCCTTCAAATATCAGCCCACCTGAGGCTGCACTACCAATATCCAAGAGAGGTTTTGAAATTAGAAGTATCTGGCTGTTTTTATTTTCCCGTCATAAGATGCTGTCCCTGGAGATGTTTAGCCACAGTGAGCGATGCTCACAATGATCTTATGGTAGATGCCAGAGGCATTCTTGGCATAAATGAAAATCCTGTTTGTTTCAGCTGATTAACTTAGGCCTCTTGATACAGCAGCCCAGCTTTCCTTTGTTGGTAGAATGGTTTCAACAAATACTACATTAGTTTTTCATGGGATGTATATTCACATGAAGCCTCTACCTGGAAAGAGCTTGGTGCTGCTGTGCTCCTCTTCCCATCCCATCACATTGCAGGTTGGTAACACCACTCACCTCCTCCGTATCGTATTCAGCCATGATCAAGTCTGAAGCATTTTACTTGCATGAGATCGCTGAGGTGCAGGTCAGACAGTGCCTGGAGAGCGACTGTTGTACAGCTTCTTGTGCTCACATCATCAGTGAAGTCCGAGGGCTCTGTAATCACACACTGGAGCCAGGGTTACGTATTCCAAAGACAGAGGGAACAAAATCTGAAGTTTGCACTACTCAGAATGACTACACAAGAATAAGACATGCATTCTTATACTTAATGATATTATAAGAGGTCTTACCTTATTATTCAAATATCTTCGATTGTTAGGAGTGATGAAAGCATAAACCAAAAAAAGCATAAAAGAAGATACAGCTTTATATCTGAAATTCCAGATACAAAATGAACTTAATAAAGTTGGTAAAATTTGGAAGATCAAATTGTTGGGAAAAAAACCCAAACCATCAGCATCTTAGACTCCACTTCTGATCTGTGATCAGAAGGTTTTGTGCAGTCTTGTAATGGGTGTAGCACACTGTTCTGTCAGACCAAGACAGAATATGAGAGAAAGGGAGCAAAACTTCTGCAAATATTTACACAACTGGTTGAATACTGAGGTGTAGAAGTACCCAAAATTGGCCTGTCCTTTTAAAGCCTTTTTTTAATGTTTAATCGAGAGTCAATTGAGGTGAAGTTGTGTACTTATTTTAATACACTAATACTGCTCTTACCCTGAGGCTGCAACAAGGACCAGCTATGTGTTTAATTAAAAATGATTCTTCAATATGCACATATGTAGTCCCAATTATATATGGAAGCACATGAACTCCAAGTGGTTATGAACAAATGCAAGATCAGGGCCACTGAGGGCAATTTGTCCACAGGACCAGAATATGGACTTAGTTATATTCTGGTTTTTTTTTTTATTATTCATCAATGGATTGTAGAACAATATCATTTGCTTTGGAAACAATTCCACACTGTCACAGTGGAATATTTCAGCTTCTGTTATTGTCTATCAACTAGCCATACTCACTACTCCTTAATCTCTCTTTCAGGTTTTTATCATTTATATACTTTCTCTCAAAATAGCCAGTATAATCAAACCTGGTAATCAACAAGTTGAGTACCAGAACAATCCTTTTATCTGTCTTTCTCTGTTCTGGCATTTAAGAAATCACAAAAGTCATGCTTTGGACATCCTTATTTTCCCCCACATTCCAATATACACAAAATAATGAATCTGAAGGCACTAAGGACCACTTGCACCAAAGAAATGTTTGTTCTGAAAAGGAGACTTAGTACATGGAAACCTTCTCCTGGGAGCATGCAGTTTTGTCTGAATAAGATGCTACTGGCTTGTAGTGAATTGCCGTGTTTTGAAACTGTACTGCTGACAAAATTTTAAGTAGAATACCCTGAAGGAGAGATGATGATGCATTTAAGCAATTGGACTGTGTATCCTACATATACTGTTTGAATTTTTCATAGATGTATTTTGTAAAGGTCTTGTTTAATTCCCTTGAGAGCTTGTTTGGAGAATGGAGAGGGTGAGAGAGTGGAGATAGACTTAATGAATCTTTAAGAGCAAATTTTCAACTGCTGCCACCAAAATTTAAAGTCATGCAGCAGCTTGTTTCCCGGCAGCCAGGAATGTCATGAAGCAGCCTAGGCCTCCATCCCACTTCCTAGAAAAAAGCTGAGATGGTGAGAGCGCGGTCGCGCTGGCAGGCCAGGAAGCGCCATCTGTTGCAATGCCTCCCGTAGCTGTCGGTAACTCAAGTACGCACAAGGACGGCTCCGCAGGCTTGGTGCCTCCTCTATAAAGCAACATGCTCCGGCCACACATCTTTCAGCCGGTGCATCGCGGGGGAGAGGTGCAGGTATGCCAGCAACGCGAGAGGAGGTAGGGCGCTGCCTCGCTGCAAAATGAAAGCAGATGAGTTGGTAATAGCCGTTGTCAGCGACTCTAAAGTGTTCTCTCTAAGCTCATTTAGCACTTTCCTTTTCCTTTGTTTTTCCCCTTTGTGGAGTAAACCAAAGCTTTGTGTGTACTAGGAATGTGTGTGAGGGGTGGGGGCGGTGGCGTTCGGGTACTGAAATTGGAGAGTGTTCAAGTAACATACAGTGACCATTAATTTCTGTGCAAATAACCTTCTGCTGTGATGACTCCCTTCATATATGAAGGAAACAGAAATATATTATTTATGTAACATACACATGACATTTTGAAATTATGCAGTGATACTTTTTAAAATTACTTTTGTTGAGCAGAACTAATTTGCCTTCAGTTTTGCCGCTAGTGATTTTCGGAGCATCTTGTGTGTTGCCCTGTGTGAGCAGTGAATCTTGCACACAGCTACTGGGGAAGAGGCAAACACTTTCAAAATAGGAAAATTTGACTGAATGCTGGCAGGAGCTCAAAAGCAATTACATACTCTGAAGAGGTACTCTTAGTTCAGTTTTACAAGAAAGTAAATGTCAGGGCAGTTGAGTCCCCTTCAAATAAAATGGTTTAATTGGGGAAAGTATAGGTAGTGGGACTTCATACGACTTGTGCTTCTTACTTGTTGAAAGTGATTTGTAAGAAAAAAATTAATTTTTAATGTACTTTTGCTGTGAATCCTTTATTGCTTTTGAAAATTGTTAAGGTTCATGTCGCTTGAGATTCACACCTGAAGTCTTTGCTTCCTCATTATCACAAGTGGTTCTGTGTTACTGTTCCATATAGGATTGCTTAAACAGTCGAATTGGTTAGTGAAGGGCTTTTTTTCTCCTGACTACCCCTGGAGAGCATGGGTACATTTTCAAGAGAATCTGAACTGATCACTTAAAGATTCAGGATTCTGTCAGTGTTTTTGAAAGTCAGAGGCAGGAAATGTCTCACTTAAAGCAGGTTAGTAGCAGTTAAACCAAAGTTAAATTAATTTTATTACTTTTTAGACAATTGGAGGGAAAAAAATAGTTGGTGTCATTGGAAAATGGCAATGGTGGTAAGACTGATAGCCCCTGTGGAGCAGCAAGAAGGTTATTTATGTGAATGGCTGTTTTACACAGAGCCGACTGGGAGGGAATGACAAAGTTCATCACCCTCAGTCGGGTACTCCTCATGGCTGTCCAAAGACATGTCCAAGCACCTTTATGTTGCTGAGGAATGGTTTGTTCACTGTGGGTTATAAATGTTACATTTTATTTTTACCGTTCCAGAAACGTCGTTTGACTCACCGAAGATTTAAAACCGACAGCACCACAGAGCCATGTGGGACAAAAGGGGATTTTAGTCTCAAGTGGCAGAATCAAGTCATAAGAAGTAAAAAGATTTGGATGGTTTCTCACTAAATGGAAATTATCTAGAAAGCCTCTCAGACCACTGCATCTCTCCATCCCACTCCTGCTGCACGGAGACGGCGCTCTTGGCCTTGGACGTTAATAAAATGCTGGATTCAGTCAAATGTGTCCTGGTGGGAGACTCTGCGGTTGGGAAAACATCTCTTTTGGTACGTTTCACCTCTGAGATGTTTCCAGATGACTACAGACCCACCGTATATGAAAATACTGGAGTGGATGTCTTCATGGATGGTGTGCAGATTAGCTTAGGCCTTTGGGACACATCTGGCAGTGATGCCTTCAAAGGCATTCGCCCCCTTTCATACCAACAGGCAGATGTGGTATTAATGTGCTACTCGGTGGCAAACCACAGTTCCTTTCTGAACCTGAGGAACAAATGGATCGGCGAGATCCGCAGCCATTTGCCCCGCATCCCCGTTTTGGTGGTGGCCACTCAGACTGACCAGCGTGACACGGGTCCGTACCGTTCCTCCTGCATCAGCCCGATAGATGGGAAGCGGCTCGCCCAGGATGTGCGAGCCAAAGGCTATTTGGAGTGCTCTGCCCTCAGCAACCGAGGGGTGCAGCAGGTGTTTGAGTATGCTGTGAGGACAGCAGTCAATCAAGACAAAAGGCGGAACAGGCGGAAGCTCTTCTCCATTAACGAGTGCAAAATCTTTTGAGGACTCTCAGCGGTGGTTTTGCTCATGTTCGTTCTTTCTGTTTTCACACAAAGATACTGCAGCAGAGAGAATGGGAGGTGAATCAAAGGAGGGCTCTTGGCAGGACCACAGCGCAGGTGCCTCATGAGACAGATGTGCTCTCTATCTGATTCTCTCCCCCCAAACACACATGGGCACTACCTTGAAAAACAAAAGGTGCAAGTACCTGCCCTTATTCCCAAGCCTGTGTTTGGACTTTGCTAGCCTGGACTGGAGCAGGCCTAGCCTGGAGATCTGCAGATAACAGCTGTGCCGATTTTGTTGTTTCTGTTGATGTTCCTCAGTTGATGGTTTGTCTGCATCTGCATTTATTTAATGATGAACTTCTACCTGGATCAATCCCTACCTCTGTCCATGTGGATTTTTTTCTTTAAGAACTTCGTATATAAAATCTGACCACTGTGTATTCTATTTAAAGGACTCTTGTATACATTGTTGTAAAATCCTGAAAGTTTGTTTTCGTATTTTGGAGGTTTTCCCTTTAGCTAACCACAGAAGCAAATTGTCCTATCCATGTCAAAAATGGCCTGCAGGGAAGCCTAGCACTTCTTAGACATGCCCAAGTCATTGCATAACAGTCATCAAATCCAGTACAGGAATGATCAAAACTTAGTGGCATTTGACAGCTGCCGGACAGCTTTGTGAGGTTTATTTTGTTACATTCATCTTGTTCCTCAGCAATGTGGTCAAACATGGGAAACTAATCTGATTCTTCCTAGACTTCACCGGGTTACAATCCCAGAAGGGCTTGCAGTCAGGGCTGGTTTAGACATATGGTTGGGGTAGCAGAGATGAATCTGTGCTACCTACCATCACTTCTGTTGTGCCTGCTGTAATTCTGGACACAAAAGATTTTAGTCTCCAGGGATGAAAGCTATTTTTTCATGAGCACTAAAATTTTCACGTATTTTTAGTACACTTTTTTTCGACACAGTGAGTTTAGCGAAACCAGTCACTTACATTAGTAAAAAATTAAGTACATGGCAATGTTGAATTTGTGTATTTAGAATGGCTAAACAATATATTTTTTTGAGTTTGCATACTAAGTTTAACTGCCTGGGCTGTATCAAAGGAAGACTGAAACAGGCTTTGCATCCTGGGGAGCTTGTCAATTCTAAGAGTCAAATCCTGACGTACCTACTCAGGGCCAAGTTACCCTCCTGCACAGAAAGTCAGGCTAAGCAGGTGGAAACTCCAGGTATGTTAGAGAACTCTGCTAGAAGATGGAGTGGGCTGCACACACATTGCTGTGCATTCCTTGTGATTTGTGGCACTCCCCTCCCCCTCAGATTATCTGTCCCCTCTGCCCTGCACCATCTCTCAGGGCTTGCAGATCTGTCTCATCCCAAGGTTTCTGCTGCCCACAGAGGAAATCCTCTGGGGGATTTCTTAGTGTACAGCAAGATTTCCTTTGTCCCTTTCCCTGTCCTTCAACTAGTTCACTGACCTTTGAGGAGCTTATAGAACTGACCTTTGAGGGGCTTATAGCACTGACCTTTGAGGGGCTTATAGCATGGTGCCATAAAAGATGGCACATAGCACAGTAGGATTATCTCACCTGTGATGCAGATGAGCAAGTATTTACATTGCCGGCACCTTGAATACCAGTGGTGCACAGGACCACACCTGATGTCGTTGTCCCACCAGCTCCTAGACTGTTGAATATTTACCACTTATCAACTTGATTATAAGGGAGGCTTCTGGTCATAAAAATATACTGGTCTCTTGTGAGGTTTTTATATAAATTTTAAATCTTTTCAAGCTTCTGCACCTGTGCACACAAGACAAGGACTCCCACCACCACCCGTCTTTCCTGAACTATTCTCTTTCCTACTTCTCTTTCTCTTCAGGTGTTGATTGCAAATCCTTTGCCTGGGAAACACTAAAACTGACATATTTGTAAAAGAATTTGAATGCCATTGAACTTATGTGGAGTTACGCAAGTGACTGAGTATTTGCGGTCCTTGGTTAAAAACCTGTTGGCTTTTGGGAGAAATATGTTTCTATATCTCAACTTTTGCAGTGCCTCTTCACTGAAAGTCCTGGGTTTTATAACCCTAATTTGAAAGTATTCATTGTTACTGTTCGAACATTAAAGATTGCATGCAAAATGTCATGTTGCAACTCTTCAAGCCTGTTACTACTGGGGACATTTTTGTTATGTTCCCCACTCCACTAACGGATTTAATACCTGGTTTCAGCTTTTTTTGAGACATATTTTTCCAGCATGCTCTATTCAATGGTCTTTTTTTTTTTTTATTTCAGGAGTTAAGGTTTGTTTACAACAGTTCATGTTTTTATGTGCTGAAGAGCAGTAACCGCTAGGCCAGAATGCTCTGTTGTGGTATCTGCCACGGGGTGCCAGATTCAGGGACCAGAAGGCTCCAGAGACTTGCTGTCTCAGACAAAGCCAGATAAAGGTGTGTTCCAAAATCACACCATAACAAGCTTCACAAAGCTACAAAATTAAGAATTCAGTGTTTGCTGCAGTTTAGTGTAACAGAGTGGAGAGGCTTCATTGAGTCGCTTGAGCTGATGATACAGGATGCACAGGGAATTTAGGATGGCTTGATACACTCTTGATTGTGCCTAGAGGCAGCACAAGGTGTGAGACCACTGAAAGCCAGCTGATATTTAAAATCAAATTGGAAAGAGTATAAAGTAACAGTGGGATTTTGGTTAGGTGCTCTGTGAAAAAAACGGTTCAGATTTTCATAGCCTGGTTATTTTCAAACTCTCAAAGCTAAACCGCAATTTTCGCGGGGAACCAACTGTAAAGCACATATATTTTAGTGCCTGTAATTATGCAGCTGTACGACTGATGTGCCCAAGAAGTGTGACAGCCCCAATACAGAGGCTGAAATCTGGACACACCAGAATTCAGATGAAAATTTGGCCAAATGCTTATTGGGGTGTGGGGCTTGCACAATTGCATCCATGTTGCCTGTGGTGGAACAATGAGGGATTGCTGAGGTCTCCTGTGAAACCCTACCAGGGTAGTTTTGCTTATGTTTACCTGGGCAACAGTGTCCTTGGGTATCTCTTAGGGGTTAAAATCCAGCTCTGGAATTCAAAATACATTCAAATGACACATGTGAAAGTTCTACTTCTTTTGCTCTGAAAAACAGCAAAACAATGTGCAGCCTTGCCTCAGTTGGGTCAAGCTTTCAGCTGAGGGAAGAGACCTTGCCCAGATATTCTCCTTCTTTTTTCTCAAATCAATCCCTTTCAGTTCGTTACTCTGTTGCTAATCTTATTTTTACTTGCTAGGTTAAAAGTTTAAAAAAAAAACAGAGAACACTTGGGACTTAAAATGAGAGAAGAAATAGCATTGTTATTTATTTTCATCACTGTCTGACTTCTCATTTTGACAGCAAAAGTATTTTTGGATCACTTTAATGAATTCTGCAAGTCAGATAAAAAGTTGAATATATATGTTGTTGTGATTAAAATTAGAAAATATTTTTATAGCAGGAAAAAAAAGGATTTTCCTTCAGTAATTTGTAAAATGGGGGGAGTACAAGTTGCATTATTTTAAATGGAGATTTCCCAGGCTTTTTAAACTTATTGATATGCAGTGTACAATATCAATATTTTATAAGATTAAATAATAATAATATGTTTCAGATCTTCCATCTTGCCCTCCAGTTTTTCATATGGAACATTATTCAAGCCTGTTAAATATAACTGATACTGTTTTGCCTGATATTTGCAATCAACAGTTCGCAAATATCTGTGCAATTTTTGTGAGTACTCTGCGATTCCTGAGGTGTATGAATACATACTACCTGATGCTTGTGTTGATAAAGAAAATGTGTTTAAAGGACGCTATATGTGGCTCCATTATAAAAGAAGTCACCACAGGGATCAGACATGAAGGAAAAAGAAATATTAACACTGACTTCTCAGCCTTTTTCTGTGTTACTATGGCATTTAAGTGAATGCAGCCACTAAAATAATTTCTAATAAATGGAGCGATTCATGTCTTTCTAACACTTTCTCCTAACGTTTCTGCTGCACATGGCTCAGGTTAATATACAAAGAATAAAAAGCTTCATTTCAGAACATCAGAATGCTTGTCTGCTCTTGCCTTAGTGAGCAAGTTAACTACCTTGACTCAATTAGTAAGTCAGTTCAGCCTCTGAAACAAGCCAAACTTCCTTGCTCTGAAATGACAGTAATGAATTTTTGTCTCTGGATGTGAGAAAACATATTTTATGTCTCAGAGATTTCCTTCACTGTCATCATTGCAAAAGTTCAGTGTGTACCTGTCCTAGCTGACCTGTGTGCCCTTCACCTTGTGCTCTGAGCAGCCAGCTATTGAAAACAAAATTGAGGACAGAACAACCTTTTTGCATATGTAGATGTTTATATTGTATAACTGCTTAATTACTGCTGTGGGGGCCTTTCCCCTGTCCTGGACCTCTTGCTCCATCATGGTGCAACAACACAGCTGCTGTTACCTAGGAGGCAGAAGAGCATCACTACCAGGCAGCCCTACATTTTCAGCGGGGTAGAAGAGATGCTGCTTAGGGCTCCTCTTTACCTGCATCATAGGCAATTGCCCTACTCTGCAAACAGAGCTGGCCCTGCCACAGTCAGACTTCTGTCACTTGCAGGTGCCTTTGCAGTAACAGATTTATTTTGTGTGCCATTTCTAAAATCAGTGTCAGTCTCCAAGTCATTATCCAGGCTCTGTTGTGCTGATAGCATGTTGCAGGACTCCAGCTGCTGCATTTTGAGGTCTCAAAGCACCAAGCTAAATCCTGTGTGCATCCCTTCCTGAGCATGGGGAGCTGCCTCCAGCCTTGCATGAGCTGTGAATCAGTTAACAGCTAACAAAATAATAGTTGTTGTTGCCTTTCTGGTTATGAAGAAGTGAATGAGTGACATATCTGTCTCAGGTCTTTCACAACCACCTTACACAAGGCTGGGTTTCTGTCATTGCTTCTCTCACCTTGGGTATGTTCATGCAGGGGTGGAGCAGCAGGGCATGGGCCTGGTGGTGGTTGTTTCTGTCTCTGGAAAAGAGGAAGGAAATGATGATTGATGTCTTTGCTCAGTGTGAAGTGCTCACTCACCCGCTTTGGCAGCGTTTCTAAGAAGTCTCCAGCGGGTACTGGCTCCCACAGGCACCCCAGCAGCTCTCAGCTCTGCCTTGGAGGATGCAAGTTCCTGGGGCAGCTCTCATGCCAAGACCTGGGAGTCTCCTCTCACTGCCTGGGTTGCCTTCCCAAAATGCTCCATCGCTGTTCAGGTACCACAAAAGGGTGAGATTTTCAAGTGCTGGCTTTGCTTTGAAAACCAGATGTTAGCTGCCCAGGATGTGGCTGTATCTGCTAGCCACAGGCACGACTGTGGTGGCCGAAGACGCACAGCCAGTCTCAGAGTGTGAGGGGAGAGACCCAAAG